TGGTATGCCTCAAAATAGGTTTTTGCTTTCTGTTTTTGCCCAAAGCAATAATGTAAATTTCTTGTGTTATGCTTTTGTTGATTCTGATGCAGCTGAAAACTTTATAGGTAAAAAAGGTCAAGGTAGGATCAGCGCTAAAGTTTCACAACATTCAGGAATATGTATATTGTACAGGCAGCACACCTATAGATAAGTAGAAATAGAGCAAAAAACAAGAGAAAGGTGCACCTTTAATGAAGATATTGTGTACAAGTAAAATAATATGGTCCAAATAACTTAACACTAGTCCAAAGTAGTAAAGTCCACATTGGTAGGGAAAATACTTGTAGAGCAGCAATGATTATTAGTTTACTTGTACACCACATTATTTTACAAGTCTGCACCCATGACGAATCATTGCTGCTCTACAAGAATTTTCCCTACCACTGTGGACTTTACTACTTTGGACTAGTGTTAAGTTATTTGGACCATATTATTTTACTTGTGTACAATATCTTCATTAAAGGCGCACCCTTCTCTTGTTTTTTGCTCTATGAAAACTTTATAGACCAACTGTTTGTTACCAACCATGTAGTGCCGCTCAAAGAAAGAACCACACCTTTGGCCATTGAGGCCATAGATGGCAGACCACTGTCCCAACCTTTGATCACACAGGAAACCTTACCTCTTACCTTAACGGTAGGGGCTTTACACAAGGAACTTGCCTTCCAAGTTAATTAATCTATTTCTTGTCCCATAATACTTGGTTTTCCATGGCTTTTTAAACACAATCCGCGTATTGATTGGGTTAAGGGTGAGATTCTAGAATGGAGTGGTGAATGCAGACTTAAGTGTATTCAACCTGTTTCTAAGAACTTGGGCATGGTTAATGTACCTACTACTGCTCCCCTGTCTACTGAGGTTCCGGTCCCCTGTTTGGAGGTTAAAGAAGTGTTTAACAAAATACACACTGATGTTTTACCTCCACACAGGTCTTACGATCGCTCCATTGATTTGCTTCCTGGTACTATACCTCCTAAAGGTGGTGTATATACCTTATCCTCTCAAGAAAGAAAAATCATGGAGGAATACATAAACACATTCTTGTCTAAAGGTCACATACGTAGATCTTCTTCTCCAGCTGGTGCTGGTTTTTTCTTTGTATCTAAAAAAAGGATATCTACATCCCTTTATTGACTATAGGGCATTAAATAAGATCACTGTAAAAAATGCCTATCCTATACTGCTTATTTCCGAATTATTTGACAGAGTCCAAGGTGCCAAGGTTTTTACCAAACTTGACCTTAGGAGTGTGTATAATTTGGTAAGAATAAAGGAGGGACAGGAGTGGAAAACGGCTTTCAATACTAAAAATGGACATTACGAGTATTTAGTCATGCCTTTTGGCTTATGTAATGCCCCAGCCGTATTTCAGGATCTTATAAACGATGTACTTAGAAAATTCATTCATTTGTTTGTATTGGTGTATCTCGACGATATACTCATTTTTTCTTCTGATCTCTCCACGGGCATGTAAAACAAGTTTTACAAACACTACTTTAAAATAGATTATACCGCAAACTTGAAAAGTGCCTATTTGATCAGACAGATATTCAGTTCCTGGGTTATGTGATTTCTGCTTCTGGTTTCCAAATGGATCCATGAAAACTTGAGGCGGTTCTGCACTGGCCCCTACCCAGTGGACTGAAAGCTATTCAGCGTTTTATAGGCTTTGCCAATTATTATCGTAGATTAATAAAGGGGTTCTCTACTGTTATAGCCCCCATTACTAACCTAACTCGCAAGGGTGTAAACTGTCACATATGGTCACAGGAAACTAAAGAAGCATTTGATAAGATCTTGTTTGCTTCGGCTCTCATACTAGTGCACACTGATACCAGTACACCTTTTATACTAGAGGTAGTTGCATCAGAAACTGTGGTAGGTGCTGCTCTATCCCAGAGGGGAAGACAGAACACCCCTTTACACCCTTGTGGGTTTTTCTCCAGAAAACTGTCGCCAGCAGAAAGAAACCATGATATAGGCAACAGAGAACTGTTAGCCATTATCCTGGCCTTAGAAGAATGGCAAAATCTTTTAGAGGGTTCTAAAGATCCATTTTTTTTTTTTTTTATAATTCTTTATTTTTGTTGCGCAGGTGAGTACAAAAACATTGACAAACGCCACAACAGCGTACAAGTGTGTATAAACAGGCTAAACAGTGGCACAAGAATCTGACTTACATTGGTGAAGCCAAGAATCTGACTTACATAGGTGAAGCTTGTCTTCCAGACAAGCCAGATGGTCTCTGTTCTTATCACGCTTGAATTTCGTGATTACATACAGATCAGGCACAAGAAATGTCAAAGCTGACACCCTATCCAGGCAGTATGATTCCGAGGAAGAACAAGAGCAAGAAATTTATCCTATTATACCTCCTGAATGCATTACTGTTCTTATGTTGTCCTTGTCTCTCCTTAATACCATTATGACAGCTCAGGTACAGGCTCCCAGTGACAAACCTCAGGGTAAATTGTACATACCAATTAAGGAGAAAAAAGAAATATTGAGGGTATTTCATGACAATGTAACAGCAGGCCATCCCGGTATCAGCAAAACAATATCTGCTGTCACCAGAACGTTTTGGTGGCCTTCTCTTAAAAAGGATATAAGAGAGTATGTTAGAACATACATTGTTTGTGCTGTTTCCAAAGTTCCACATAGACAGCAATGTGGTTTGCTACAACCACTTCCTATAACTCACGTTCAGTGGCGTACACACAACCCATGGGGCCCCGGTGCAAAAACTGATCTGTGGGCCCCCCCCCCCTCAACGCTTACTCTGCGCGGGACGTGGCCGAAACACATGGCGGCGGGCACCTGGTCGCAGGGCTGCGACCGCAGTATGTACGCCAGTGCAAGCAGATACACATATACTTAAAGGACCACTACAGACACCCAGATCACATCAGCTCAATGAAGTGGTCTGGGTGCCAGGTCCCTCTAGTTTTAACTGCTATGTTTCACTGAGGGTTAATCCAGCCTCTAGTGGCTGTCTCATTGACAGCCGCTAGAGGAGCTTCCGCGATTCTCACTGTGAAAATCACAGTGAGAAGACTCTGAACGTCCACAGGAAAGCATTGAGTAATGCTTTCCTATGGGCAGTTTGAATGCACGCGCTGTTCTTGCCGCGCATGTGCATTCGGAGCTGAGAGGCGGATCGGGGCGGAGGGATCCCCAGCGCCAAGGGAGTCCGGCACTGGAGAAAGTTAAGTGCTGAAGACACACACACTCTCACGAACAGACACTCTAACACACACACTCTAACACTAACACACACACACACTCTAACACACACACACACACACACTCTAACGCTAACACACACTCACTCTAACGCTAACACACACTCACTCTAACGCTAACACACACACACACTCTAACGCTAACACACACACGTTTTTTTAAAAATGTAATCCCCCAGCCTCCATACCTTTGGGAGTTCTTGGGGGGGATTCCCTGGTGCTGCTGGGCGGCCGGTAACCGGGCAGGCTAGCGGGCGCACCTGAGTGCTCCTTGTTCAGCTCCCTCGCGCGCCGCGTACTGATGCCGGAGCCGGAATATGACATCATATTCTGGCTCTGGCATCAGTACGCGGCGCGCGAGGGAGCTGTAGAGGGAGAACTCAGGGGAGAGTGCTCCCTCGGCCGCCCGCCAGCCTGTCCGCCGGGTGACACCAGGGCCAGCCTCGGGGGGCCCTTAGGTTGCCAGCACCTGGGCCCCCCAGGAGAAGAGGCTGGCCACACAGGGTACATACCGGGGCGCAGGGCAGCCGCGACCCCAGTATGTACGCCACTGCTCACGTTCCACGGTCCCATCTAGCTATGGACTTAATTGTTGAACTTCCAGTCTCTAATGGTCATTGACCGGTTCTCTAAGATGGCGCATTTCATTCCATTCAAGAAGCTGCCTACTGCCCAAGAACTCGTACACATATTCATAAACGAAATATTCAGGTTACATGGTATTCCACCGAATATTGTGTCTCCCTGACAGCCAGTAAATCACATTTATCTGACGCTGGACGTCCTCACAGAGTCCAGCGTCAAATAAGATCCCTCAATGATCCCTCAAAGATTACTCAATGCTTTCCTATGGGCGGGTTTTAATGCGCGCGTGCCTCTGGCCACGCATGCGCATTCCGCTACACTATAAAAACTGCAATAATTACACTTGCAGGGTTAAGGGTGATGGGAGTTGACACCCAGACCACTTCAGTGAACTGAAGTGGTCTGGGTGACTACAGTGTCCCTTTAACTCCTGCCCTGTAACCACACTCTGGAGTTCTTTGGGTCTGCTTCTCACTGGCTCAACTGGATTTGCTCTATCTATTAAACCCCATGTGCTAAAGTGCTTATTAGTAAACATTACTCATTTCATCCCATTTGCTCATTCTTAGCATAGAACTATTTTTAAAAGCTATGAGATCTAATTTCACTAGCAAGGATATTCCAACAGGTAACACAAACATAGAAGGTTTTAGCATTTGCTGATGACTTTCTGTGTATGCTATCCTCACTTTCCTCACTACTCACTGGACGTCTAGTTGCAGAAGATGTACACTTACAGCTCTATTTTGGACTTTAAAGTTAATTATGACAAAAGTGAAATCCTTAACTTGCAGATGTCGGAGCTTGATGTTGCTTTCCTGAAATCAAAGTTCCCATTCACATGGGCGGATAGGTTTGTAAAATATATGGAATCAGGGTCATGTCCTCCCTTTCTTTATTTTATGAGTTACATTTTCCAACTTTACTTGTTTCAATTCAGGAATTCAGGAAGAGCTTAGAAAATGGACCTGCCGCACATTAATCTTTATCCAAATAATGAAAATGAAAAATAACTCAACCTGCTACACCTAAAACAGTATTCTTCAATAGAGATGTCGCGAACCGTCCACGAACTTCTCGCGAACGGTTCGCCGCGGTTCGCCACGAGCTGTTCGCGGTGAACTCCAGTCAGCTGACACGTCCCGGCCAATCTCCAGCAGACCCTCCCTCCCAGACCTTCCTACTTCCTGGACAGCATCCATGTTGAAACTCGTACACATATTGAAACATGGATGCTGTCCAGGAAGTAGGAGGGTCTGGGAGGGAGGGTCTGCTGGAGATTGGCCGGGACGTGTCAACTGACCGGAGTTCGCCACGAACAGCTCGCGGCAAACCGTTTGCGAGAAGTTCGCGGACGGTTCGCGACATCTCTATTCTTCAACTCAATTCTCTAAATTTGTGTGTTCCTACAAAAAGCCCAAATTGAGGTATGGAGAAAACCAAAGGAGCCAAATTTTGTCTTTCGAATAAGAATTCATAATTTTTCCAATGTTGCATGACCTGTTATTTCACATTGGACTAAAAGACATTTTTCTCTCAACATTGAATCCTGATGCCTACTTGAAACTGGGAAATATTATTTGAGGCTCCCAATTAGCTCCTTTAACTGAACTCTCTAGATCTACAACTCCATCTCAGAGGAAATTTCCAATATTTTCAAATGTGCCACTTTCTCAAACTTTTATTGGCACATGTATTCCTTCACCCAGATATTTGAATAAACTTATGCTTCACCTAAAAGTATAAAATAGTATATTTCCGGAACTGGTCTGGGGAACTGGGTTTTTCCGACTCTGTGAAGTGAGGGAATATGTTTTCTATGATTCCTCATCTGTAGACTCCAGCATGCAACTGGATATTATAATTACATACTAGTAAGCAGATGGCATTATACCCCCCAAATGTTGCACTTTTATTTATGTTATTTTAGTTATGCAGATTCTGGCATGACTGCCCACATCTGGTGGCAAAAAGATACAATTTAGAGTTTCTGACCCAATATTTATACTATCGTGTCGATTGCTGGTACTAAGATATCCTTTCCGCAGGTCTTTATTGTTCAATGATATCCCTAAACCTCCTGGTAAATATAAACGTAATATAGTTAAATATAAACGACATAGTTGCATCAATATTGCCAAAGACAATTCCTCAGAATCTGTTGTGCAATATACTCGTGTCAAAAGTGACGCCAAACAAAGTTCAAGTGGAGCCTTTTGTCTTAGTTGTGCCAAGGTTAGCAATGCTTTTAAGCCAACTTAAGCCTAATTTAAGCCTTGCCTTAGCTGCCTCATTACTGACGCCAGTCACACTCAATGTCCTGACCGCACCAGCCTTCATTTTATCTAATTTTATAGACATACATCTTACATCTCAGCATCAAAAATCTGATGCAAACAGTCGTATGTCATCACAACCAGTGGCGGATCCGGGGGGGGGCAACGGGGCAATTGCTCCCGAGAAATCCGACAGTCTCCGTCTCCTCTGCCAGCACATGCAGGCGCCAGACCTGCAATGTGCCTGTGGACCGGAGGGGAGATCAGAGATCTCCCTCCCCGGGCCGCAGGCATTGTGCTGAGAGCCGGCAGGGGAGGGAGAGGGAGAAGAGAGGACCCCCCCCCTCCCAGTAAAGGTAAGAAGGGAGGGGGGACATAGAATATTTATTTTAATTAAATAAATAAAAATATATATTATAAAAAAAGCCCACTTACCCTTATCACACACACATATACACTGCCCCCCATACACACACACATTGCCCCCATACTCACATACTGCCCCCTCATACACACACACTGCCCCCTCATACACACACACTGCCCTCCATACACACACACTGCCCCCATACACACATACTGCCCCCCATACACACATACTGCACCTATACACACATACTGCCCCCAAACACACACACACACACACTGCCCCCATACACACACACTGCCCCCAATACATACATACTGCCCACCATACACACACACTCTACACACATACACTACCCCCATACACTGCCACCCCATACACACACATTGCCCACACTCACACATACACTGCAATACTCACACACACACACACACTGCAACTGTTACACACACATACTGTTACACACATACTGTCCCACACATACACTGCATCCCTGACATGCACTGCCACCCTCACTCACACACTACAACCTTCACACACACACACACACACACACTGCTCACACACTGTCCCCCTCACACACACACACTGCACCCCTTACACATTGCACCACTCACACACACCACTGCTCCTATGCCCTACTACAGCCCCATTTCCCAGCAGACCTCAGGTAAGTTGTCAAACTGTTCTTAAACGGTTTGACTACTTACTCTGGGAGGGGGTCCTGGCACTATTGACACCATAACCACTACACTGAGCTGTAGTGGTTATTGTGTCTGGATTATTTCTTTAAATAATCTACAAGTGCCCCTCCCGAGATCAGGCTCTGGATCCGCCACTGATCACAACATCAATGCACACGCATGTTATGAGCTTAGAACAGTGCAATGGGAGTGGCTATTATCTTCAGACCTATATGGGGGTTTACTGCACTCAGTGCCCTTGTCCTGTTTCGGTTTCCCTATGACTCACACAGCTTGCTGAAGTGCTTTATGTGTGAAGAGTGTGTCCTCTTTTAAACTTTGTTATCCCTCTGGCTGTCAGTCAGACAGCCAGTCCTGTTATTTCCTGGTTGTTTAGTTCAATGGCATTAAACTCAAGAGGTAGGTAATTGCCCAGAGCACTTTCCTTGCAAAGACTTCTCATTGAACTGCATTGAAAATCTGTTATTGGACAGCCACAGAAAGTCTGGGTAGGGGAATATTAGGCTGCAAAATTCTACAGGGTCTGAAACCCATGGTCTTGTGCACTTAACACATTCTGCATTCCTTGTCGCTGAATATGTTCACTGCAGTGAACAATAAATGCACGCCAGTCAGTATGAAGTTTAAGAAAGTAGTTGCCTTTTAAATGCATGTACATCATATATGAAGCACAGTTTTCTTAGGGGTGTATACAACAGAAGACAAAATCAACCAATCATAGAAATAGAGTGAATTATTCATTTTACATTATGTATTGCAGTTAGTCTACTGCGCATGTATAGCACCTCTTATCTGAAATATGCAGTCTGAGTTCTCTGTGTCAGTGTGACCTGTTTGAATAAAAAGGGAGTCACTGCTTGCAACAGATAGCAGACAGGGGAGAAAATTATTTTAACCCCTGCAGACGTGGAAAGACTTAACTAAGGCACAGGCTTCTAACTTTTTATTTACCTGTATATATGACAAGTCCCCTTTTCTGGCACTGCAGGAGAGAGAGTGAGGCAAGGTACAGCCAGATGTACTAATTACAACAGTGGAACTTTAATTAATTCTTCACCTCTATTCCCTTATACTCTTCCCCCGAAAACAGAACGATCAAGAAAGGCCCGTACAGATATTTGTAGATACAGGATAATATATGTTATTAAATCCACATCTCATTATGTAATACATCCATAGCTTAACATATATATTTATTTATATAGCTCTGTATGTCTAAGGGAATATTCACTAAGCATTGCATAGGTAAAACAATTCATTTCCCATCAGGGAAGAAGGGGAGGTCTTGCAAATGCTCCAGATAAGAGATCTGCACTTTTTTTGCAAGATATTTTTAAATTTACCCCAATGAACAAAAATCATAATTAAATGCATTTACGTTTTCATTGGGGCTACATGTCCTAAAAAGTGATTGGGCAGTGGAGTGTCAGTTTAATTTATAATGTTACAAGCAGCACAAATACGAGATTTTGATTTGGTTGAGAGGTTTGACAATTGCTTTTTTTTTTTTTTTTAAAGGATTCCACGTCATCTCAATAAAGTGGCCTGGGTGTACTGTTCCTGTCATTTTAACCCTGCAATGTAGAAAACTCTAAAATAAACTCTAGAAAACTTTTAAATACACCTCTAGTGGCTATCTTCCTGACAGCCAAAAGAGGCCCTTCCTCTTTCAAAACTGAGTGAAACTCAGTCCTGGAATCAAATCCTGCTGATAGTAGCATTTGATTAAAGCAGCGCAGCATTTGGCGAGCACGCCTAGTTCCAATCTATTGGTTCTCTATGAGAAGTAATGGAATGAAGGAGATCGCGAGTCATGTCAATTTGGAAGCTTACATCAACGGAAGAGGAGCTGGATGCTGCAGCAGAGGCGCTGAACACTAGGTTAAGTAATCTTTAGTTCACTTCAATTTTACTGGCAATTGTACCAACTACTCCCTTACTGGAATACTACATGGAATGTCCCTACCTACCAATTTATAAAAGAAAAATATATTTTAAAACCATGCTTGATTAGGTATATCAGCAACTGAACATAGTTTAATGGTGGTTTACAACCGTAAAGAAACAATGTAAAAGAACACTCTCAAAACAATAGGCAAGATTAAAGAACAATAGATAATCTATGTAGACAGACAACGTGCCACTGTCTATAAAAGCTCCACGTCTATACACTAAAAGGTAATATATTGAATGCTCTGCCAAAAAGTAACTTTAATAATAGCGATAAATTCCTTAGGTACAGATAGGATACAAAAAAGGAACAGATGGATTTGAGAAAAAACAGGGACTTGTCCTTCATATATATGTTAAATGTAAAAAGCACCATTCAATACTTGTAAGTATTGACCTCTATGTGGAGCACACAATGGGCTAGCGAGACTCCAAATTCATGGAATTCTTTATCATGTATTTTAAAAATTTACAAAGCTACCAATATGAAGAACAATTGAAAAATCCACATGCATGTGCTTTACTTTATAATGCACCCAGAATGTAGTGTAATGTGTAGGTGTTTTATTTACACCAGTTAAATGTTACTAAAAAAAAAAAAACGATATATTACTATACACAATGTATTTATAGAGTGAGCTCTTGCCAGCCCTTAAAATGGCTCAGGGTCAGGGCTAGGAGCGATCTGCAAGAAGCTCGGCGATGATTGGCTAGTCGCTGCTTGATGCCATAACTGTACACCGCATCATTACGGGAACTGTAGTTTCAGTCATAGAATCAGCTTATTTGCTGGAGGGATACTAGAACTACAACTCCCGGCGACCCCCTCGACGGACGAGGGTAGGTGACGGAATGGACGGCTCACCCAGAGAAGAGCTTTGTTATTCCCAGCCTGCCGTCACTGGATTACAGTAAAGTGTGAGCTATGTTGCTGATTGTTACATTATCTGTGCTTCTCTAATAGAGTGTGTTACCGGCACAATTTAAACTTTAATTCGCCATCTTGTTTACCTTTGTAGAGTTGATGGAAGGACAGACCTGCCCGCTGTACATACTATACCGTGACTCTGCCCTGCACAGGACACTGTGTGTGTGTGTATACACCATATAGCACAATACATGATATATATATATATATCGCATACACTACAAGGACAGTATATACACAGCATATAGTAATAGTGTAAAGCACGGCGGAATATGTTGGGCTATATAAGTGCCAAATATTAATAATTATAGTACAATGCACAGTATATATACCATATAGTAATATTGAATCAATGCATCTCCATGGGGAGCGTTTAGTGTCTCCATGCAGAGCGTGGAGGCGTTGAACTTAGATGCTGCACACTGTGCAGTACTGGACTAGGAAGCAATTCTAGTGGCCTGAGTGACGGCATGTAGAGGTGTTACTAGCTTGCAATGTAAACACTGCCTTTTCTCTGCAGTGCTCAGCCTGCAGGGACATGCTATAGACACCGGGACCACTGCATTAAGCTGTAGTGGTTTTGGTGTAATTTTAAAGCTGATTCAACACTGTTTTGAAGTGTATTCCAGAAACCTCTATAATTACATGGATAGCCGACATACAGACAGAAAAAGACATTACTGATTGCATAATTTCTCTGCACATGTAACAGTTTAAATATCATACTTTACTAGTCAACTTAGATATTACATTGTATAGGTTTGTATACATGTTATTGTATTTCTATACTGCATGCTTTGAAAACCTACACTTAAAAAAAAAAAAGTCAAAATATCTTTTTTAGAAACACGTTTTTTTTTATGCTCGTTTTAACTTGTTCATCATTTACTTGTATTGTTTATTGTGTGTGCATGTGCATATTTTTTGAGGATCTTCAGTGTACATCATTGTGTAATATTGGTACCAACTGTATTTTGGACCTATGGGCTATCCTATTTTTTAGCATAACCAACATAATACATGAACAACACTTTTTCAATACTTTTTAGTAAAGTTTTGTTATGGTTTTAGTAAAGTATTATAAAGTATTAAGGTTATGGTGTTTTGAGTATTTTTAGCACCATAACCACTACACTGAGCTGTAGTGTATATGTTGCTAATAGTACCCTTGGTGCATCTCTTGAATCTTTATTAAATCATTCTGGAGTCATTTGACACAAAATTAAAAACCCAAGGTGCTCTCAAGATTGCTACCAACATTGACATAGCAGGAAAATGAAACTGAGAATGTTTGGTTAAACCTTCCTTCAGCAATCACTTGTAGTGTGTGTGTGTGTACATGTAAGTTCATTTGAGCAGGGCCCTCGTCACCACTTATGTCAACATTACTTTGCTTGTCAGTTACTTGCTCTTTTGCATTGCCATTGTAAATGACAAAAGAATAGTTGGTGCTATAAAAATGGTGATGGTGGTAAACTGTGTTTTATTGGAAATCAATCTATTTAAGATATTGTTGAAATATCATAGTAAGCTACAAGACCAAAGATTATTAGTGTCTCCTGAACTTCAAGTTGGGATTTTATTTTCACTTGCTACATTTGCGTGCATGATTTGTTATGTTTAGGGCTAGGTTTCTTTTTATTATTGGCAGGACCTACATGTCCTAGTCTGCCTGAAATTTTGGGGGTTTAAGCTCCAGGGCATTGCTGCTGTTTGCAGCCATGGGCATTAATCTGATGATAGTTGCGCTATTTCTGTGGAGTTCTATATACCAGCGAGCATATCTAATGTATGTTGCCCTGACATTAGGGATCCACATACTGCACAGTCGCTGTTCAGTCATGCATTATAGTCAATAATGCTCAGTTGATGTCACCCACCGGATGGGGTTTGAAAACATTACCTCATAGTTGGAATTACTAAATTTAAAAACCGAAAAGTTACAGCTCCAGTTTTGTGTTTGGTTTGAAAATGTGGAATACATGTTTTATGAAATGTCTTTTAATCCCAGCAACAGGAACCCATTTTACACTGGCAAGGAACACAATCCATTACCTTTCAGAAAGAGAAAAAGATGAACAAGGAAAAACTGCTAACAAGTGAGGTAATCTTAAATCACAGCCTGGAAATCATCTGCCTTGTGACTGGAGAGGTGAGGAGGGCCATCTTAACTCTTGTTTCTTCCTGTACATCTCACCGTTTATAGCAAACAATGCATTTTTAAGGAACCATATAAGCATATGTGAGAGCAGTACTACTCCAACGCGACATTGAGTAAGGAATAAGAACTAGACCTGTGCAAAAATGTGTTTCGTCCACATACAAAATGATTTGTCTTAATCGAATCTATTTAGACAACCATGAACAAATTCATCCATCTGGGAAATAAATCAATTTTATTGGGTGTTGATAATAATTTTTTAAATTCAGACAAATCAAATTTGTTTATTGATGAAACTAATCTTTGCACATGTTTAATAAGAAATACAAACTTGAGGATCATATTTTAGTGTTGTCTAAACACAAGTGAAACGCTTGGTGTTTATGTTCTTGATTCCAAGGCAAGTGTATGTAAAGTGAAACTTATCATTTTGTCCTCCTGATACACAGGATTGTATAGTTGTAAAGAAACATGTGGATATTGACACATGCAGCAGCAGTGCCCTTGTACCAGGAGATTTATGTGCAACACAGACCACCTTGTATGAACCACAACCTAATTCTGTTATGAAAGAGACTGTTAATGATACTGCCCTAGAATTTGCAAAGATGCTGGAGCAAGCTCAAAAGATACTCCAAGTCCTCAATGAAGAGGTGAGAATTTTTGAAACCTGATTATACCAGTTTTAAGAGACTGCATATTTCACAACAGGGAAACAATTACAGAAATTTTAGTTTGATCCCATTATCCAGTATGATAAATTAATTCACCTAAATCACAATGGAATATTAGCACCTGTCATGCCAAGATGTGTGGGTTATGTAAATAAAGGGTTACACCAAGCACCATGACCACTTCAAATTCTAACTTGGTTATGGTGCTTGGAATCTGTATGTGCAGCTTTTCACTATAAAACACTGCACATACAGATATATATTCCTTTGCTGTGGTAGGTATAACACCACATCGTGCAGTGTCATTAGCCAGCCTGAAGAGTTGCAGGCTGACTAATGTCGATTTTGTCCACACGCACTGCATATTGGAGACAGGTGACCAATGGCTCCCTTACCCCAGCCCTTCCTACCTAAAATCCCTCCACCTCCAGCGGGCTGCTGGAATTCAGCATTGGAGTGGAGGTTAGTTTTATTTTTTTTATTTTTTTGTTTTTTATTACATTTTATTTTATTACATTACTACAGGATAGTAAGTGTTACGCTGACCAAAAAATGTGTTTAACAATAATGTTTGCTTGATGGTTAGCAATATGTCTAAGATCTGCATTTTCTGTTCATGTCAATAACCATGTATATTTCATGGATTGCAGCAGGTATACATTTAAATATCTGTTGAGTTTTATATTTTCTATTATATGTACATAATCTTAATTTTATTTCCTTACAGTACAGTACCTATATACCTATAAAAATGTTGGCAAGATTAACCCCTTAAGGACACGTGACATGTCATGATTCCCTTTTATTACAGAAGTTTGGTCCTTAAGGGGTTAAGTAAATTTCCTTTATGGGTAACTATTAATTGTCAATTTTTTTTATTTTATTTTTTAACTCTTTCATTAATAGTTTCCTTGCTTTTCTGGTGCTGACCCAGACAGCGGTGAGTAAATAACAGATTTTCTAAAAATATTTCATATGAAAGTAGTAGTCTTGTCATTGTCTTTCTATGTTATTAGTTATAAACATTATATGATTAGTTTAAAGAAAAAAAAAGTATATTAAAGGAACACTCAAAGCTTCATAACCACTACAGTCTGTTGTAGTGATTATAGCGCATCTGTCAAACAATTTTAAAATGGTACTAATATGACAAGGAGCCATGCTATCCCTGTACTCTAGGACATTGTGAGACTGTCAATTGGAGATTTTGGGAGCCTTGATTGATTTTCTTGCACTTGTGCAAGCAGCTGCCACACTGAGAGAAGATGTCATTGCCACCAGCTATCAATCACAATTTGCACAGGGTATTAGAAGTCAGGCCTATATAGCATAATTTTTGTTTTTTGAGGTACCCTCTTCCCCCCTGCAACCAAATGTACACACATCACCTAACCAGTGTCATTGTGCAGTGTATTTCTGTGTGTATTTATATATGTATCTCATTCTGTCTGCAGAAAATGGCAAACACTACTGTAAGGATCAGATCCAATTCTCTGAACACCTGACTAACTTGGTTAAATTAGTTAACAAAATGAAGACTGACAAGAATCAAATGAATGGAAAAATCTTAAGTCATACCTTGGAGATCATCCATCTCCTAACTGGAGAGGTGAGCATAGAGCAATACCCAAGGTTTTACATTGTACAATGGAGGAATGTTACTGAGGTACTTGATATAATCATTAGGCCAGTTACTACTGTATTAAAAAAACAAACAAAAAAAAACATTTTTCCATTGCTTGTAATGCTTAAATATTGCTTCCTGCCTGTGGTAGTAATACAAATTACGACTGAACTACAAGGTGTTATCAATAGATATCACAGAACAGTGTAATTTAGACTTAGGAATTGTTGAATATTTAAGGGAACTATTATTGTAGTGATTATCGTGCTAAGATGTTTTTCCTGCAGACATACCTTTTTAATTCACGTACATATTGTCATCTTAATTTGTGGTACCAAAGCTCCATCCCCTACCTGCTGACCTTATGATTAATTATTTTTCAGCCTAAGTCACTCTTTCATTTGCAGGATCTGCCCAGCTCAGAACTCTGTATACGACAACAGGTAGTGTGCAGTACTACATACACTCACAGCTCAGCTCCTTCAAGAACACTGATTTGAGTGGTGGGAGCATGTTCGCGCCATACATATTTGGACAACTGAATGGGGAGCTTGGCAGATAGTCAGTGGGTGGGGAAAAAGTATGAGTCAGTTAAAATGTACGTTTTGCAGGCACAGATTTCCAACCATATATTCACTACAATAAGATGTAGAGATTATAATGCTTGGTGTGCCCCTTTAACAACTGTTGGTATTGCTAAACTGTCAATTGTAAACTGTTGACATCCGTTTTTCACATTTCTCATTATAATAAATAACCTTGTATGATTTGCATCCTCATCTGAAAGAATAGAATATGTCCTGTTTTTGAAAACGTAAATTGATGAATCCCTTGCTTATTCAGTTTCCCTGGTTAAATTGGGATGCTTCTGTTTATAAAGCATTCTGTTCGTACAATGTGAAGAATTCACTTCCGAACTTGTTCAATGTACTAGGTTTTCCTATTAAAATGACAGCCTTTCTTACATGTACACCTTAGCAAATTATTATATTGTGCTTGAGCACGGATACAATGTAATATACTTGTTATATTTTGTACCCCAAGGCAAATTGAAGAGCAGAAGGAGAAAATACGCAGTATTTGGTCAGCAAAAGAGGTGATGTATTTTGTAGTTTAAACCTAAAAGTTTCAGTCACGGCATAGCCCTTTATCAGGGTTAGAACAAAATTACTGCAACACATCTGTAAGCTTCTGTACAATTTCTTAGGTGTAAAACAAAACCTGTGAAAGAGCAGGATAACCAAAGATTGTGGGCATATACAAGCAAATAATGAGCTTTGAGTATTTGACTAGTGCAAGATCTGTATGAAGCTCAAATCACTTTGTTATATTAATCCAGGTGATCGGAAATGAAAGCAAACTAATTTCATCCTTCCTAAATTTGATTGATTATTAGCTTTTAAGTCAGATGAAAGACATGTTAAATAAATAAGCGCAACTCATCCTACTAGCCCTCAGATGTAGAGTGAAACACAAAAAGGGTCAGAGCACCAACACCTTCTATAAAATCTTAAACACCTGACATAGCATAATAATAGCCATAATAAAGAGCAAATCAGTAGTCAATTTGTGTCTGTAGAGATATATATTCTGCATAACACAACCTCCTAATGAAACCACATTGAATAGTCCCATGGAAGAAACACTAAATTACATTGAATGCACTTCTATCCCAAGAAAGTGAAACACAATCATCTGGGAAATTACAGCTCATTTACAGTTGTTGCAGATCACCTAAATACTGACTCATAGTCTACTTTAATTCAAAATACATGTATTGTATAGCGCTCCACAAAGACAGTGATGTGTACTACTCAGCCTCCTTCTGTTCTTCAAATTGCTTTATGGCTTAGAACCCACTATTTTACACTGACTGTGCGCAGTCATTGGTGGATAGGATCAATGACCTGCGGGTCTCCCACTGGCTGCACATACTGTAACAGTGACATGCAAATACAGGTCTCTAAGTAAACTTAATAACATTTTCATTCATTTAGGAAACAAAAAAAAAATACTGTTTAATACAGTCATTGTTTAATGTATCTAATCTCTTTTTTCGTGCCCTTGTATAAGCAGGATCATATAGTGGTGAAGAGGCCTAATGACAATGTCAATGCAGACAGCAGTCCCTGTGTGCCAGAAGAAGCCAGCAGTGCACAGAATGTCAGCAAAGATCCAACACCAAATGCACTGATGCTTGAGAGAAACAATGCAAAGAATATTCTGGATCTAACCAATAAAATTATCAATGTACTCGCTGCAAGGGTGAGTGTTTTTCAGGGAAACTGAAACATTTATGTTATAGCATGAGGTTGGTAAAATGAGACATTTTATTTTAACTACTTGTTGACTCTCATTTGGTCTTTCTGCAAATGTGTATTTTCGGTTTCACTAATGTCAGTAAAGTAAAATTTGACATGCAACCCTCTCTTTATATTTTATTTGGCAAATTTACCTTTCAGGAGTTTAAAAAGTGCGATGGTGGTGAGGTCAATTCCACCATGGAAGGATATTTCAAAGCTTATGAGAATTTTGTGAAGGACAGTGAAGAGGACCAGCCCCTCCTCTCACACGGTGAGAATACAGTTCATGAAATGTATTTTCAAATAATATTCACATGGAAATGTAATGCTACATTGCCAGTTCCAAAACTCCTACAGCAAGAGATGTTAGAGTTTTTTTGCCCTTACCAATCCCCCAAGTATTTTAAATTATTAACTTCCTGTCATCTCTAGTCCCTTTTCTATCCACACTTGACTGACGTTATTGAAAGAGGCTTCACCCACATTTTATTTGTTGCATGCTACCCTTTTCAGATGTGTTGGGCATGACATCAGCTATAGATTAGTTTAAAGGGATCCTATAGTGCCAGGAAAACAAACCCATTTTCCTGGCACTATAGGCTTCTGGTGTCCCTTAGCGCTGGGTCAGGCTTCTCTGTGCTCCTCCCCTGCCGACGTCCGGCGGAGGGGGAGACCTAACACGCATAATTCAATGCTTTTCCACTGGGAAAATCTGATGCTGGAGGTCCGTGAGGACATCCAGCGTCAGATGGCAGACCAAAAGTCTGTTTGGTTTCCGGAAGCCCTCTAGTGGCTGTCTGTTAGACAGGGCAGACTTAGAGCTGCAATCTAAACAATCAATCAATTAACTGAAGTGGTCTGGGTGCCTACAACTCCCTTTAACTTGTATTAAACAGATGTCTCCTTCAAGAGAGACAAAACATAGACGAAGGACCTTGATGACTACAATTTGGACAATATTAGCCATTAAGGGACTTCATTATTTAATTACTGTTTAACTGAAAACATAAAATGTTTCTTCCTTGTGTTTTTGCTGTTGATGCATGAGTATATGGTTAAGCAAAGTCCATTATTTCACATCATGTCAGTGCTTGCAGACCCTTTCATAGTAACTTAATTTCATTGTAACTTCTGTAATATTCGTGTTGATAAAAGCTAGTTTTAACTACTGATTTTGTTTCTTTCAGGTTTTATATGTTTCTAATTTAATTGCCTTATTTTACAGAGACTTCTGCAAGTAGAGATAGGACTGCTGAGTACTCAAAGAGTGACATAGATGAGCTCAGTCCTGGTTCCACAGAAGAGCTCCAAAACCGAAGGAAATCAAGTAGAAGGAAGAGCAAGCCAGTGAGGATTATGTCTGCAGATGTACCTGCATGTACAAGAACATTTTCAGTCTGCTCCACTAGCTCTAAAAGGAAAACTCATACAGAGGACAAAAGTGTAGTTACTCTTAGTACAGATTACAACAAAGGAGATGCAAATGTAGCACAAAATGATAAAAATATACCTACAGAATATAAATGTTCAGATTGTTTTGAGACATTTAAATGTCAATTTGAATTTACGTCACATGAGTGTGCACAAAAAACAGAGAATCCGTGCTCGAATTTTCATAAAGGAATGTTAAAAAATGAACCTGAAGAGGAAACCTGTCCGTCCGAGATGGTCATACATCGTACAAGATGCTCTGGAGCAAAACCATATTTATGTACCCAGTGTGGGAAATATTTCAGCAAAAGTTCACACCTTGCTACACATCAAAGAGTTCACACTGGAGAAAAACCATATATGTGTTTGGATTGTGGAAAATGTTTTACAAGTAGTTCCACACTTGTTGATCATGAGCGGATTCATAGGGGAGAGAAACCTTTTGTTTGTTCGGATTGTGGAAAAAGTTTTACAAAGAACTCAAATCTTGTTGACCATCAGAGAACTCACACAGGAGAAAGGCCATTTGCATGTAGGGAGTGTGGAAAGTGTTTTGCCAGAAGCTCCAACCTTGCTGAACACCTGAAGATTCATACTGGTGAAAAATCATGTGTTTGCCCTGAATGTGGTAAAGCCTTTTCCAGAACTTCAAGTCTTCTGGAGCACCAGAAGATTCACACTGGAGGAGAAACTTTTATATGTTCTGAATGTGGTCAGTGTTTTACCAAGAACTCTAGTCTTGTCAGACACCAGAGCATTCACACAGGAGAGAAACCATTTGTATGCACAGAATGTGGTAAAGGTTTCTCCAACAGTTCAAATCTTGTTCGACATCAAATTACTCACACTGGAGAAAGACCATTTATGTGTCCAATTTGTGGGAGATGTTTCAACCAGAACTCAAACTTAATTTCACACAAAAAAACTCATAAAGATTGTGTGTGACTGTTAACACCATTAACCTGAGGAAACAAATGTTGAGTTTTGCTTTGTTTTTAATTTTCAGAGTTGTAAATTATCACCATTTCTAAGAGTCCTTTAGCAAGAAATGTGAAATAAAAGCTGTGTAGTTTGTGTGAAAATGAGAGGATCGAGTAAAAGATGACATTAGCTTGTTTCATGATTACTGCAACATTTTACATCTTGGAGTTATAATTAGAGTGTACAAAAACCATACAGTTTTAACAAGTGAGCAAATCATGTTGCATGCTAACATTATGAAATTTCTATTTTTCTATATTTTTTAAGCTTTACTGTAAATTTTCGATACAATATGGGAGAAAACTACTGTCTGCTTCAATAGAAATGTATTTTTGTGCTCTTTCCCCATTTTGTAAATGTTTTTATGAGTCATTTATCGTTAGGTCTGGGTATAGAGATTTCAAATTTAAGCATTTTAAAGACTTTGATTAAGTTTTTATACACATAATATTTAAATCTATACTTACTGTCAAATCATATCGTGAAATGAAGTTCATGTTGTAAAAGACTGTCTGAATTATTGGTTAAGAAATAAACCTTAGCAAGTCTTTTATTTTATTTTTTTAATTCTTTATTTTTGTTGTGCATTGGTACATTTTGGATATTGCACAAGATGTGTAATGAGAGGGACAATAATATCCAAGAAAATAATACAATAAACTGCACAAATTTTAAAATAAAAGAAAATAGGAGTAACTTACTGCAATCTGATTATAGCCTTTAAAAGGAAAGAATACTAACCGGTTAACCACTATGTAAGACGAGTAGCAAGGCATTTGTATGAGTATGTCACAGTAATTGTACTGCCAAGCTTGGAACATAAGCTTGGAGAAAAACAAGCTTAAATTAGGCATTATAACTTTAGGTGATAAATATAAAACGAGGCATAGTTGTTGAAAGACTATCAGCTTGAACCCCCTAGAAGACCTCCCTACGCAGTTTTTGTGTCATTGAAGGTGTGGGCAGAGTAACCCATAATATAAAAAGGGAAGTACAGAGAGTGAAGAAATAAAAGTCTGAGAGAGCTCCTTCACACTTCCCTGTTCAGCTGATGCCTGTAAGGGGTAGGACACAGTCCAGCACAATGTAGAGGTACTTAAGGCTCTGCAATTTAAATATTTGCAACCGTGGATATGTCCTTCACTGTATTCATATTCAGCTCCTTCCTTGTGGTCTCAGATTTGCACCATGGCAGATAGTGGGTTACAGGTCGAATAGCCTGTCTCTTGCTGCAGAACCCGTATATAATGTGCACCCACACAACACAACCCAATGTGGGATAATGTACTCTGTTACCTGGAGCAGATTAAGCAGATGATACAAATGTGGATAGAAAAACACCCAAGTATGGTAACATAGAAGGAGGTAAAATAACAAAAGGAACCTATAGTGTAGTATTTAATACAAATTAACAAAAACATAGAAAACTGACTCAATATGAACTGGCACAAAAGAGGTTTTTGTGCAATAAAAGCCTTGCCCCCTATTGGGCCACTTATCTCCAGAAAGATACTCTCTTGAAGCCTCTATAGGTCCTGTGACGGCAAGTCCCCCTTTCTGTATAAATCCAAACAGAGACTGCTTGAAATATTTCCTAAGGAAAAGAGTTCCTTCACGTTAGGCTTGTCCAAGAGTCCTTGTGTGCAAATCCGTTTGTATAGCTCGTCGCGTTTCGTCTGTATACCAGACTTTTTTTAAGAGGCGCCCTTTCCCTCGTCTCTTTCTGTTTAAGTATGCCACTGTAAAGTCTCTCCACCCCATCTGCGTCGTGACTTCCGCAATCTGCGTGGTCTTTATTTTTTTTTTTTTTCAGTGCATAAAGAAAAAGCAGTTACATCATGCATAACATTTGGGGTAAATTATAAAACATGCACTTTTTTATTGTATTAGATAAACATATACAAGCTATGCTTCCATGGTTAGTTGTAAATAGGATATTACACTAAAGGGAAGTGCCCACTAATAATTGAACAGAGTGGATTGTACTAGGGATGCTATAGCACAGCTTAATCATCAATAATAGTGTTAATTAAAAAAACAAGAGTAGGTCAATGCATAGAAGTGAGAGTCGTAGAGAAAGAGCAGTAAGGCATATCATAGGCAAAGGTATTTTAAGCGAGTTGAGCTGAGCATCTCAACTGGAGCCCTTCACAGCAGGAATCGAACATTTCTGGAATCACGGTAAGGGCATATAGACATGCTAGCTGAACTCAACTGAATGGCTCCTCCGTCCACCACGATCCCTGGCTTGGCTAAGCGAAATAGTAATGGCTTCCCTTTATAAAGGCAGACCCTGCCTGTTCTGCCCCACCAGTCCCAGGTCATAGCACGGGCTCATATCTTGCGCCCTTGTTCAGCAGCCAACATCGGAGTTCTTGCAAGGGGTGATCCTTCCTAGAGACAGGCCGTAACGTAGGGTCTCGTCTCCTCAAGGCCTAGGTGAGTGGGTACTGGGATGTAGTCGTGAGCAGCCGAGAGTACTTCTCCCACTGTTGGACTTTCTGAGTTGTGGTGGTAAGTAGCCACCTCAGCATAGACCATTACTGGAAGCAGAGGTCATTATGCTTCATCCTTATTGAGTCCGCATGCAGGCTTGTCAGCGTGGACTGTGCCATGGCAGTCAATTTATCTTCCAAGCACAGGATATTGAGTGCTGGGTAAGTTGTAGCCTTTCCCTCCCTGCAATTTTGGATGCTCCAGTGGGGGGCGGGATTACCCCCACCGGCCCAAAGGGGGTAGGGGGGTAACGGGACCTGCAATCGCGTCAGAGAGCCAGTATGTGGAAGCCAGGGGAGAGAGCAGGGTGGTGGCCATCCACCCCACTCGTCTCTTGAATAGGCCGCAGACTCCAAGGTTTCTTCTCGCCCTCTTGGGCTCCAAAAACTCCCTAACCCTCGGAGTCCAGTAGCATCCTCTGGTCCACTATGTTGCTATTTCAGGGCTCAGAATTAAATGTCAGCTTATAAGCCTGAGTCCCTCAGGAGCCTCTCCTGCATGTGACCGGTCAGCATGGCGGCCTCGCCCCACCCCCCAGTGAAATATCTTTTAACTAAAGCAATTACGTTAATATGATGTCTGAATTAAATAAAACACGTTAATATAACATCTAACCGCCTTTTCAAATGTACTATTAAAATACATTTAGTGACATAAAACAGATGTTTGTTTAACATCTCCTTTGATTAACCAGGACTAAAAAGCATAATTCAGTTCCATAGTTCAACTTAAAATCAGCAAAGTCAAATATATTTTTGAAGAATGTCTATCAAATTTAGCTGGTTCATAATAGGACATTGTAAAGATTAAAGGATCACTATTTTCAACATATAAAAGCAAGAAAGACAGGTCCCCTAGCCTTCTTTCTTGCTTTTATATGAACTAGCCCCTGATAAAAAATAAATCCGAGCCCTTTTTATTATTAAAACTTACCTCCATTCCAGCACCAAGCTCCTCGCCAGGCCACGCCCCCTTTTCCGGCAAAATGACAATATCGGAGGGCCCAATATAACGCTTCTCTTTGAGAAGAGCCATTGCGCTCTGGTGCGCATGCACGGCTATGCGCTGCACCAATCAGGTTCTTCATAGAGCGGCATTGAATGCCGCTCTATGAAAGAACTGAGCGCTCCACCGCGCATGTGCGCAGTATGCGCTTTTGCGAGCTCAGCTGACTGACAGTCACTCACCCACCCACACTAAGTCACTCACACTCAGTCACTCACCCACCCACACTTACTCAGTCACTCCCTCACACTCACACACCCTTAGTCACCCAAACTCAGTCACTCACCCACACTCAGTAACACTCACAATCAATCACTCACCCACCCACACTCAGTCAGTCACCCACACTCAGTCACAAAATAAATTTACTTTCAGTCTGAATCCTCCCATCCTTCTCCGGTCTTCAGCCTGTCAGCTCAAGCCGACGCTGTGTGCAGGAGATCTTATCTTCCACACAGTCGGCTCTTCATTGCTGACAGGCTGCAGGGTTACTTCAGGACATAGGAGGCGCGTTCACGGTGCCTCATATCTCCTGTATGCTGAAAGCACTTTGATGTCTTCACCCAAGCGTGAAGACGTCAAACGTGGATAAATGCAAATTATGCATTCATCAACTTGGACGTCCCTCTGGTGGCAGTCTGAGTGACTGCAACTGAAGGTGTTCCTCCTAGCTTTCAATGTAAACACTTTATTTTCTCAGAAAATATAGTGTTTGCATGAGAAAGGCTGCAGGGAGCTATAGTTCTCACCTGAACAACCTCATTAAGCTGAAGTTGTTCAGGTGACTATAGTGTCCTTTTAAACTTTCCTCATGTTGATAAAAAACATCAGTTTGCCATCATGTCCAGTTATTGTAAAATCAAAATAAATCAACTAGAAAATTGAATGTGAAGATCCTGATAAAGGGTAAAATAGAGCTGTGATCTTTATGCATTTTATTCATCTTATCAATTTATAGTAAGCATTTTTTTGTGAATATCCAAAACAGTAGGTCTTTTCCAGTTTCAAAATGCACATTGTCTCATTATTGGTGAATATATTATACTGTGTATTATTCCAATAACTAGTTAACAGCATTGTATGTATATTTTCATTGTCATATGTTGTGTGTGTAAGTGTCTGTTTCATTTCCTGTACACAAATCCAGTTAAAGTGTATGAGTTAGGCATACAGTTTTGAGATTAACATCGTATGAGCTAGTGGCTGTTTTCCTTCAGGTAATTTTTCTTTTCACTCACACTTGTGTTTGAAAATGCTTTGTCCTTCCATTTGTTATTCATATTATCATATCACTTTTCTCACAACTATAAAAATATAAATTATTTTATGAATATTCCTTTTAGTAGTTGTACAGGACACAGTAAAATAGGGTTAGTGCGTAGCGAAGGGGATGAATTGTGTGCAGGTGCAAGACAGGTGCAATGCTGTTTGGTTAGTAATTATACATGTAATTGACAGGATAC